TTGAGGTGATTTGGTCATTTAGAGAATGGATCAAAGTCGAATGACTTGGAGAACGTATAAATGTGTAGGGGAAGAAAGGCGAGGTAGGGGTCGTCCTCGAAAAGGTTGGGGGGAAGGGGGTAAAGGAAGTTTTGTGGGCGAGGGGCTTGGACTTCCAGCAAGCGTGTGTGAGCCTGTTAGATAGGAGTGAATGGAGACGAATGTTTTTTTGGGACCTGACGAGCTGCTGGAGTGTTACTAGGGTAATATTTTGTGAAGGGGTTCAGGGAAGCCAGTTAGCAGGACTTGAGTCCTGGAAATGGGAAGTACAATGCTTGCACTCTAACCCTTTGAGGGTTTCGGCCATAGTAGTACGGCTTACGACCCAGGGTTTTTGACGTACTAGTACGCCTAAATTCTACCGCCCTCAAATCTAGTGGGAGAAAGCTGGTAGGCCTACATATGAAAGAATGGATCTATGTGGTCAGTGTGCACAGTATAAAAAAAATCCTGCAGCACACAGTGCATAATGAGAAAAAAAAAACCTTGACCGTTTTTTTTGGAATAAACCAGCGACTTTGCACTGTATTTTCGTATGGAATTTATTGCTGTATTCTAGTTTTCTTGGTCTCATTTTATAGAATGGAAGACATATTACAGAAATTGAGATGATTTTGAATAGTTTTACAATGAAAAGTACCTTGAAATTGAGCTCAAATTAGCAGAAATGTTCGATTTTTACCCAAGTTCAAAAGTAAACAAATCATGCCAAGCGTCCAATACACGTCAACTGGTGAGTCTAATATTCTTTTGAAAGTGCGCCAATATTATTTATACCATTTTTTACACTAATGCAGTAGTCTGCATAACAGTAAATCTTCTATTTTTTGTGAGAATAAAAATTCAAAGTGGAAAGCAAAAGAATGTAACAGGGACCTTGAGACGTGACTAATGAACAGAGGAAATGTCATTTTAGTGCCAGTAATGTCTTTCTTGTTTATTCTGGACCCTATTCGGAAACTGGCATCTTTTGAAATTTGTGTGAAATTGGCAAAATTGCTAAATTCTGACCACTGTACTGGATAGTTGAAATTGGTAAATGGGTGGTTTCTTGCACTCATTCAATAGAAAAAATGGAGTTCTAGCGAAATATTCATGTTTTTTGTTGACTAGTACAGTGGAATTGGCTGAAAATGGGGCTCAAAGTGGGCAAAATCGCCGATGCATAAACATCGCCGAGACTGCTAACTTCACAAGAGAATAATTCCGTAAGTTTTCCATCAAATTTCATACTTTTGGTGTCATTATGATTGGGAAAAGATTCTCTATCTTTTCATAAGAAAATTTTTTTTTTTTTAAATTTGGCCGACCCTGAGAACAAGTCTCGGAGAGGGCTTGTCGATCCTTAAAGGGTTAAAGGAGGGGTTTGGGATATTGGCAGTTTGGACGGACTTCTAAAGTGTCGTATCTGAGTGCCTCTGCACAGTGATTATGTGTGAGTGAGGTGAATGTGTTGAATGATGATGAAAGTATTTTTCTCTTAGGGGATTTTTTTTTTTTTTTTGGGGGGGGGGGGGGTTCACCCTCCTCCTGTGAGAGACGACCAATGCGTTAAAAAAAAAAAAAAAGGAATGATTGATCATACCTTGGGCATCCCAATAATTAAAGCAGACTTAATAAACTCATAAAACAGACCGGGGAAAAAAAAAGGCCTTAGCTACCTTCGGGAAAACAAAAACTCGAATATTTCCACTATTTTGAGCATAGATCTATGTAACAGTGAAAATGTTAGAGAATGGAGGGAGTCACCTCACTTAGGAACCTATGAAAATCACTTTCTTTGATTCTTTCAAACTACTCTGAAGATGTGTAGATAATGGTCACTTAATGAAGGTATGTAGATAAAGGTCACATAATAAAGATATTTAGATAATGAAGGTCACATAATGAAGATATTTAGATAATGAAGGTCACATAATGAAGATATTTAGATAATGAAGGTCACATAATGAAGATATTTAGATAATGAAAGACAAACAATGAAGATATGTAGGTAATGGGAGACACAAAATCTGTTTTGCAGCTTTAAATGTCTTGGTCATTCTTAAACTTGTAATAGGCTTATTAAAATAATTGTCTTATACTATTTTTTTTTATTTTCTTTGTACAAAAAACTAAAAAGTAGAAAGTGGCTACATATAAAGTAATATATTTCAGCATTGTCTGTAATGAGAAGTTTTCATTTCTGGCAAAAACATGTTTCCTCCATTACACTAAATATATTGCAGTATCACACAAGATATCAAAATTAGAACAGAATGGATTAACCCTTTGACTGTCGCGGTCGTGGTGTTGTGTGTTGTGTGTGTGTATGTATAAATAATATATATAATTTAATATATATATATAATATATATATTATATATATATATATATATATATATATATATATATATATTATATATATATATATATAATAAATTATATTATATATATATACTTATAGGAGATACGGTGTTTGACGTATCTATACGCATAAATTCTAGTGGCTTCAAATCAAGCAGGAGAAAGCTGGTAGGCCCACATGTGAGAGAATGGGTCTCCATGGTCAGTGTGCACCATATAAAAAAAATCGGGGAGCCAGTGGTGCATTGTGGGAATACCATTTCAGTCATCCTTTTTCAGCATGTCTAGCGGTAAGAAATATGCGACTCCCCAGCAAATCTGGGACTCTTCTCTTCCCAAGTGATGCTCTAACACAGATGGAAGTGTCACTGAAGATCAATTTCATGATTTCGAGGAGTTTGAGACCAAAAGCAATGGAGGAGGAGGAGGAAGAAGAGGAGGAGGAGGAAAGAAGAGAGGAGAGGAGAGAAGAGGAAAGAGGAGGAGGAAGAGGAGGAGGAAGAGGAGGAAGAGGAGGAGGAAGGAAGGAGAGAAGAGGAAGGAAGGAGGAAGAGGAAGGAAGGAGGAAGAGGAAGGAAGGAGGAAGAGGAAGGAGGTGGAGGAAGAGGAGAGGAGGGAGGAGGAGGGAGAAGAAGAAGAGGAGGAAGAATAGGAAGAAGAGGAATAATAATAATAATACCTAATAATAATAATATATAATAATATGTTTCCTTGAGGCATGAAAACAGTTCACCCCATGACAGTGACAAGATAAGGGGGATTACATCTGATAAGAGCTGACCTTTGATGAGCGTAAACGAGGGTGGAGGGAGGGGGGCAGCTGTCCATATGTCAAGAGCCAGGAGGAGGAGGAGGAGAAGAAGGAGGAGAAGGAGAAGAGGGAGGAGGAGAAGGAGAAGAGGGAGGAGGAGGAGGAGGAGGAGGAGGAGGAGGAGGAGGAGGAGAAGGAGGAAAGGAGAAGGAGGAGGAGAAGGAGAAGGGGAAAGAGAGGAGGAGGAGAGAAGGAGGAGGAGAAGAAGGAGGAGAAGAAGGAGGAGGAGGAGGAGGAAGAGGAGGAGAAGGAGGAGGAAGAGGAGGGAGACGACGACGAACAAACATTTGTCTGTCTGTCTATTTGTCTGACTGCCAAGCTCCCTGTCTATCCGTCTAGCTCTGTCTCAGAGAGAGCCACAAGGCTGTGTCGTCATCACGTTTACTCACATCTTCAAGCAGAGTATAGCAGTTTGTCTGGAGTTTTTGGGTTATCCTAGGTAATTTACACTATGTATACTTGTATTTATGTGTACCTGTGAGACAGAGATAGACAGAGAGAAAGAGAGATTGAAAGAGATAGAATGAGGGAGAAAGATAATTAGATAGAATGGAGGGGGAAGCAACATCCGACCCCATTGTTTTGACAGGCGGGAGGGGGAGTGAGTAATGAGACAATGTTCATTTTGACAGCTGCTGACTCCTGACTCAAAACAATTATAAGCCTCACAGCTGCCAACTCCTGACTCAAAACAATTATAAGCCACACACTCGCACCCAAGACAAGCTTGCTGAATGGTGATAATAGCAGTTTTATGAAAGTATCTAGTGACTATATATGTGTATATATATATTATAGAAACCAGAAGCAAGAAGGGAAGGCAGGAATGAAGGAAGGACTAGATGAAAGGAAGGAAAAAAGTAAGGAAGGACAGATGAAGGAATGTAGGAAGAGAGGTGGAATGCCCTCCAGGTAGGAAAGGAATGAAGGAAATTAGGAAGGAAGGAATGATGACACACGACCATTTACCTAGGATAACTACATAACACACCTGCCTGCTAATACTTTGAAGAAAACTGCTCAGACGAGGTGTTTTGTCTTTGTACATAAAAAAAAACTTCAACAAAAATGCACACACACTGATTTTATGTGTGAGAGTGTAAAACACCACTGTGTATGACACCATGTTTCAAAGAGTTCCACAAGCTGCAGAACTTCTAGGAGTATGTTCAGTGACTGTATATTGGTATATATATTATAGAACAATAGTAATAAACATTTTTTTTATTGTTTGTTTTTGTAAACAAGTTTTGTAAACAATATATTGATAATTATGTTTGTGTGCTTATTGTGTTGTATACAACGAGTGTATATATGTACATTGCACCTTCCTTTGGTCTCACAGGCCACATAAGTTATGTGAAAAAATAAAATAGTGAAAAAAACAACAAACCTTCAAATACAAGTAAACTAAAGTTTACGGGTGAGCGGCAGTCGCCGCTGTTGCCATACGCGGCTCATTTTCTGCAAACTTCATGCCTCTATATCTCGGTAAGTACTGATGGGAAAAAATTTTTTTGGGGACTAAAACAATCAGAAAAATAATCTTAACATTTTCATAAGAAAAAATAATTTTTTTTTTCGAATATTTTGCGACACCCGGAGACACTTCAGGATTGGGCCCTTCGACAGTCAAAGGGTTAATGGAACAATTGATACAAAACTGGATAAACAATTGAATAAATGTGAGTAAATACGAAAAACAGAAGGTTGATTTACATTACATTATTTCAACCTTATCTTTTATGTTAAATTAAGTTTGAATATGATTCAGGCTCAAATATTCACCATATTCTATATTTAAATTTTATACAAATACATTAATATAAATTGATAATATAAGAAAAAGCAAAAAGTTTCAAATTCGTCATGGGGTTGCCATCGCTGGCCAACAGTGTCTGGTAAAACATGAGGAGTGAGGCAGGGCTCCCAGCTAAGCCTCCAGCAACCTGTGGAGAAACCAACCAATACCTCAGGCGTCAACCACAAAGTGCAAGGCAAATTTGTTTCCTATGGCCATTTTATTAAGATTAGAATTTCAGAAATAAGCCAGCTGTAATATTGTTGTGCTTAAGCTTAGTCAGTCAAACATGCTGGACTGCCCTAAAAAATAAATATTTTCAATTTTTTTTTATTATGTATGGATATTTTTTATGACTTAACATGGCACAAGAAAATTTAATTGTGCACTAAAACTTAGCAAATTTACCTACACATGATAAAATTAGCATAATAGAGTTTAGGTTAATATTACCTAACCTTTCCTAGGTCATCAGAAATTTAGTTAGCACTATTTAACATCAATGAAATAGATTATTCAAAACAGGAGGGAAAGACTTGCAAACTTCTCAGGACATTTATTGAAGTACAATCAATGTTTCAGTAACAAATCAATCACCATCATCAATATTCATTCTCTGAACATGATGTAAAGAATAATATATAACATGTATGATATATGAGGGGTGGGATAATTTTAAAAATGCAGTGTTAGAATGTGGGGCAGAAGTTTGTGGCTATAGGAGGATGGGTGCAGGAGGAAAGAGGATTGGTGGAATGATGATGTAAAGGGTGCGATAAAAGAGAAAAAGGTAGCTAATGAGAGGTTTTTACAAAGCAGAAGTGATATAAGAAGAGTGGAGTATATGGAGAGTAAAAGAAAGGTGAAGAGAGTGGCAAGTGCAAAAGGAGAGCAAATGAGAGAGTGGGTGAGGCACTGTCAACAAATTTTGCTGAAAATAAGAAAAACAGGTTAAAATTAAGACAAACAGGTTTAGAAAGCCTAGGGAACGAATGGATTTGCCAGTTGAAAACAGAGTAGGGGAGTTAGTAGATGGGGAGTTTAAGGTATTGAGAAGATGGCGGGAATATTTTGAGGAACTTTTAAATGATGATGAAGGGAGGCAGTAATTTCATGCACTGGCCAGGGAGGTATAATATCTTTTAGGAGAAAAGAAGAGCCAGATGTGAATGTGGGGGAGCTGCATGAGCCATTACGTAGGATGAATGGGGGTAAATCAACTGGAACTGATGAGATCATGACAGAAATGTTAAAAGCAGGGGGGGATATAGTGTTGGAGTGGTTGGTATGTTTGTTCAATAAATGTATGAAAGAGGGGAAGGTATCTAGGGATTGGCAGGGAGAGTGTATAATTCCTTTATATAAAGGGAAGGGGGATAAAAGAGATTGTAAAAATTATAGGGTAATAAGTTTACCAAGTTCTCCATGGGGAAGTGGAACAGAATTCTTCCTCTGCAAGCCATGCATGTCGTAAAAGGCGACTAACATAGTGGGAGCAAGGGGCTAGTAACCCCTTCTCCTGTATATATTACTGAAGTTAAAAAGAGAAACTTTTCTTTTTCTTTTTCAGTCCCCTTGCTTCAGTGGGATACGGCCAGTGCATTGAAAGAAAGTTTACTGAGTATACCAGGTAAAGTGTATGGTAGGGTTATTATTGAAAGAATTAGAGGTAAACAGAGAGCAGGACTGCAGGTGAACAAGGAGGCTTTAGAGTGGGTAGGGGATGTGTAGATCAAGTGTTTACATTGAAGCATATATGTGAACAGTATTTAAAGGTAGGGAAGTTTTCAGTGAGTTTATGGATTTAGAAAAGGCATGTGATAGGGTGGATAGGGGAGCAATGTGGCAGATGTTGCAAGTGTATGGAATAGGTGGTAAGTTACTAAATGCTGTAAAGAATTTTTATGAGGATAGTGAAGCTCAGGTTAGGGTGTGTAGGAGAGAGGAAGACTACTTCCCAGTAAAAGTAGGTCTTAGGGATGTGTAATGTCATCATGGTTGTTTAACATATCTATAGATGGGGTTGTAAAAGAAGTAAATGCTAGGGTGCTAGGAAAAGGGGTGAGATTAAATTATGGGGAATCAAATACAAAATGGGAGTGGACACAGTTACTTTTTGCTGATGATACTATGCTCTTGGGAGATTCTAAAGGAAAGCTGCAAAGGTTAGTGGATGAGTTTGGGAGGGTGTGCGAAGGAAGAAAGTTGAAAGTGAACATAGATAACAGTAAGGTGATGAGGGTATCAAACGATTTAGATAAAGAAAAACCGGATATCACATTGGAGGGAGGAAGTATGGAAGAAGTGAATGTGTTCAGATATTTGGGAATTGACTTGTCAGTAAATGGATTTATGAAGGATGAGGTTACCCAAAGAATTGATGAGGAAAAAAAAAGTGAGTGGTGCTTTGAGGTATCTGTGGAGACAAAAAACATTATCCATGGAAGTAAAGAAGGGAATGTACAAGAGTGTAGTGGTACCAACACTCTTATATTGATGTATAGCATGGGTTGTAAATGCTGCAGCAAAAAGGAGGCTGGAGGCAGTGGAGATATTGTGTCTAAGGGAAATGCATTGTGTAAATATTATGCAGAGAATTCATAGTGTGGAAATTAGGAGGAGGTGTGGAGTTACTAAGAGTATTAGTCAGAGGGCTGAAGAGGGGTTGTTGAGGTGGTTTGGTCATTTAGAGAGGATGGAACAAAGTAGAATGACTTGGAGTGTGTATAAATCTGTAGTGGAAAAAAATGCAGGGTAAGGGTTGTCCTCGGAAAGGTTGGAGGGAGGGGTAGAGGAGGTTTGGTGGGTGAGGGGCTTGGACTTCCAGCAAGCTGTAGTGTGTCAGACAGGAGTGGAGACAAATGGTTTTTGGGACAATATTTTGTGAAGGGATTCAGGGAAACGAGTTAACCAGACTTGAGTCCTGGACTTTGGGATATTGGCTGTTTAGAGTGACATCTAAACTGTTGTATCTGAGCGCCTCTGCAAAGCGATTATGTATGAATGATCATTAAAGTGTTGAATGATGGTGAAAGTTTTTTCTTTCTTTTTGGGTCACTCTGCCTCAGTGGGAAATGACCAACATGTCAAAAAAAAAAAAAAAAAAATGATGTATACTGTTTAATGTAATATTGTATTCCAAAAACAAATCCTGATAAAGGTGAGTGTTTCATCACCGAAACATTTTACTATACTTCAATAAATGTTCTGAGAAGTTTATAAGTCTTTCCCACCACAATCATCTATACATTCAATACAGTAAACCCTCACTAATGAACTAACAGAAGCTGTGGCTGGTAATGATGATTGTGGTGAGTAGTGATGCAACTGCTCTGCTTTGATTGTAACAATAATGGGCAATTTTGTAATAAGCAGATTTTGGTTATTGTTTCCAAATCAAGCGACCCAGCAGATTTTGTTCCATATTTCCAAGGTCCATTAAATCAAGGGCTTACTGTACAGGAGGGCCCCACTTATACGGCTGGTTAGGTTCCAGGCTACCGCCGTAAAGCGGAAACCGCCGTAAAGTGGAACACCCTTTTTTTTCCACTTACAAATGCATACAAACACTAGATAACAAGTTTACACTAACATATATTAAGTTAGCAATAGAACCAGGCATCAAAAAACAATAAAAAAGTACAATACACACATAGTGCACTCATTACTTACCTTAAAATATTTATAGTCTTAATCTAGGGTGAGACAAGTAGTATTTATTGTAAGAAATCAAGTGTGGTATGTATGGTAGTCAGCCAGGCTACCATACCAGGCCACCCCACCCACACATACAATTCTATGATAGTTAAGCATCCCAGAGCGATAAAATGTATATACAGTTCACTCATTACTTACCTTAAAATATAGGGCGAGATGAAGAGTATTTATTGTAAAAAATCAAGTGTGGTATGTATGGTAGTCAGCCGGGCTACCATACCAGGCCAACCCACCTACACATAATATTCTATTACATTTAAGCATCCCAGAGCGATAAAATGTATATACAGTTCACTCATTACTTACCTTAAAATATTTGTAGGATCAGGAGTAAGTAAATGAGATAAAACAAATAAATGAGAGAGAGAAAGAATGAGTGCATGAGAGAGTACAGGCGCAGAGTTATGTAAACAAACCAGGCGAAGGTAAGTTTTGTAAACAAAGTGTACACGTCTGGTTTGTCTACAAGTTACATTGTGTACAGGTTGTCTCTACATTGATACGGTAGAATAAATAAAGAAAAACACTCCCATTCTCATGTAACATCATTTTGAGAAGAAATGAAGCTCTGAGTGAAGGCAATGAAAATAAGTCACTCTGACTTTTTTGGGTTATCCTAGGTTCTCTACACATATGTTGTTATGTATGATAATCTATGTAACTGTATTTGTGTATACCTGAATAAACTTACTTACATACATACGAAAGGAATAATTTTCTACAGTTACCCCCAGTAACACATTTTCTCTTAAGTTAGATTAGAGATAATGTTATTCTTGCCATCACTTGTACAAGTTATCTTGCTACCACATCTCATATTTATGTTTATTTATTCTATTGTGGGGTGTATTTATCATCTTTTTATGTTATGTATCATGTTTATTATATAATTTTGAAAAAATATCATAGATGGATTAATGAAAATGTGTATTTAACGTAATATACGGCATTTAAATGAGACTCGATGATTATTATAATCATTACTAATATGACGTCTGGAGACATAAGACACTTTTACTGATTTTAATGTGTACCTGCATGCCAGCACAGTACTGTATGTAAGTTTATTTAAGTACAGGTATACATAAGTATAATTATCAGAGTATATATAAAATATGAAATAACTTTTAAAAACATTTGAAATTTTGGAGTTTCCAGACAAAATGGAGAGACTTAGTGCTTACTGAGCTCACGAAGAATGTAAACAAACAGGGTGGGGCGCAGTGACCGTATTAGAAAGTCAGGTGGGGGAGCCGTATAGCGAGTTTTGGTCATAATTTGAAATGACCGTATTAGCGGAATGCCGTAAAGTGAAACGCCGTAAAGCGGGGCCCTCCTGTATATTAAATTTTATGTTAAAACTGACTTCACAAAATTGTTGCAATAATGAACTTATACTCAGCATGCTTGGTAAAACAATTGTTGCTTTGT